ACGCAAGAATCATCAAAATCGGCCTACGCATTTGGTCTCTAGAAAGCCACATAGAAACAATCATACATACATACATAGACTGATAAACACATTACCCTCCTTTGCGTCGCGCAGTCGGGTAAAAATGGGCACTTGTAGTGATCTTACGTGCTGTCGACTGTATAAAACCTTGACATCATAACATAAGTAATAAAACAAAATCATAAAATAACATACCTACCTAAAATCACATCTTTAAAATAACAACAAATACTTGATCCATTTAGTGCAGTTGCCAAGTTTGGAGATGAATATAAAAATATCTCAGTGCTAATTTCAATTAAAAAAATATTTAATATATTCGTTATATAGTCTATTTTAGAGGTAACATTCAGTTTTGTTTGAAACGTCTAGGGTTTTCAACTTCGAAATTAGCCGTTTTACCCTCTCTGTGACCACAAAATCCGAATTGAGTCCACCAGCTTATAAAACGAATGCAGAAGTAATATTTTTAGATAATATAAATAACATTAATAGTTATTTAAAACCAATATTATTATAGCGGGTAGCTCGGTGACCTAGTGGATACGCGCCGCGGCACACGATCGTTGTCGTTAAGCAACTTTCGCAAGGGTCGGTCACGGGATGGTTGACCAAAAAATCATTATCTCGAGCAACTCCGTGCTTCGGAAGGCACGTTAAGCCATTGGGCCCGGCTACATTTGTGGTCGTTAATACCCAACAATTCGCATTGGGCCAGCGTGGAGGGTCATGAGCATGACCCATGCTCCTTAACTATCCATAAGGAAAGCCTGAGCCCCTGCAGTGGGGACGAAATAAGGAGCTGATTATTATAACTAGATATGCGCCGAATATTCCATTGATATTCGGTGTTCGGCGTCCTTTTTTTCTATTTATATTCGATTCGTATTAGTATTTGTATTTTCTTGGCTACACGACACCGTATAGAACTAAAAGATAAAACTTCTTATGTTAGGTTTATTTTATTAAGAATATTTTATCTATACTAATATTAGAAAGCTGAAGAGTTTGTTTGTTTGAACGCGCTAATCTCAGGAACTACTGGTTCGAATTGAAAAAATATTTTTGTTTGAATAGACCATTTTATCGAGGAAGGCTTTAGGCTATATAACATCACGCTGCAACTATTAGGAGCGAAGAAATAATGGAAAACGCGCACGAAGTCGCTGGCGGCCACTAGTATGAGATATAGTCAAAGAGCTCCTATACAGAATGTGTTCATTAAAGCTAAATAAACTAAAGCAATTAAACTTCAAATCATAAATATTTCTTTTCTAAACTATCATCACTTTAAAAATATAAGAGAGTGAAATAAAATAATTCTTCAATAGGTTCCTTGCTACCGAAATAAGTGTTCCTTATAGACACATTATATTACAAGTAGCACATAGAAACACTGGCTTAATAAAAGCAATGAAATGGTAAACCAAATAATTGAGTTGAATATCCGGTTCGGTAAAGGTTGAACTGAATATTATTCAGTATTTAATTATTCGTAAATCACTATACGGTGCATCTCTAATTATAATCAATAGGTCACTCGAAAGAAAATAAAACAACCTATTTCTTCTCCTCATCATTAAACAAAGAAGTTTAATATTTTATTAAATTATTTTTAAGAAAAATTATTATTCCTTCATTTTAATCGATTTTAGATAAGTATTAGAATCAAATTTTTATATGTAGATCCGACAAAAGTTCTTTTGCCATATAAATTTGGGGTGGAAGACAAAAAAAAATGTTAACTACCTATTCCCAAACCTAAGAGAAGACTTTAAAACAGTATACTTATTGGTAGTTATTTTTTTCCGCTTGTCCGCTTGGCTTCCTACAACCAAAAAATGGAAAGTAATGAAGTTTTAATTAACAACATTGGGGTAAATAAGTTAGGTGCCGTCAACAATGGAGTCTGTTAACCCAGCGCAGGGTTAAGGTCACGCAACACGTTCTGTCTGTCAGCTGACACGCGACGCAGTTGACTTAATGAGCTCAGCAACATGGCCGAATATAAACAAAAATATGATGGAAAAATAGCATGGTAGTAATACGAAAGTATTTTAAGTTGATAATTTTCTTTGTACTTATACATAGAATAAGGAATATTTTTGGGATCGCGTGTAAGAAATTTTCGTAAGAATTGTCTATTTACAGTTATTTAAATGAAACAAATTATTTGCAAGCTGTCATATAAATTAACTGTTCTTTTAGGTGAGTAAAAATATAATAAACTGACAAAAAGTAAACGAAAATAAATTGAATCTACTTTACTTATTTTGGTGCCGACTCTTCCGAATTTTGATATCATTTCTCGGTCATTATCCAAATACGACGATATGATAATAAACTCATTGTCTAATTTCACGAGACATCTGTGTATCTTATTCCATGAGCTATGTGATTTTACTTGTGAAATATATGTTCAGGCATCGGAACAATCGTATTACATATTTTATACCCCTTTGGGGTTGGGTTATAACTATAGTAGTGGTTCCTGTAAGCATCCCAAGATGTCCGTTGGACTCTCATAAAATATATAACAATTATATGCGTATTTTATTTCGAGGAAGTGCCAAGATAAAAAATGGTCCTAACTGACTAAAATAATCATTGTTTTATAGGGTGGAGATGTGAGATGAGATTCCTATTTGCGGGTAACAAAAAGGTTTATAAGCATGAAATTGGAGGAGGTTGTAAGAAAAGATAAGACAAAACCTTTATTTGCCAGAATACAAATTATTAAGGTCACAGAATTGAATAATGAAATAGGTACAGTATTCTACCTGTAAACAGGTGTGCAAATATTGTAAATGTAATATATCCATAAGCCACTATGTCAGTTTTTTATATAAATTCAATCATATTCAAATAGTTCATGTCATCTGGTAAATTATTGTATACGGTTATGCTTATGTTATGGGGAGGAAGACCGACACATATTTGGATAGGCTGTGTGAAAGATAATATGCGTACTGGAGTGAATTGTTGGGCTGACGACTGATCGAGAAGTATGGAAGAAGAATCATTGTTACAAATAATGTTAATGAGTGATTTATTTGTTAAATTTAACTGGGACCAATTTGAATCTTATATATTATTAATGAAAAATAATCTTCAAAAAAGTAATCATTCCAAAAAAAGTTTCTTTAAAATCGATTCCTAAACGCGAAGTTGTTTAAGCAGTGGTCAGTGGTGGATTAAGGGGGGGGGGGGAGCATAGGGGTCCGCCACGGGCCTCTCGTCCCGGGGTGCCTCCAACTGGCCACAATTTCCCTTGATCAAATCATGAATTGGGATTGAACTGTGTTACGTCCAGTTTCGTAGTGTGTGCAGGCGAGCCATTGGCGACGAGGTTAGTCCGCCACTGGCTGTGGTGTGACAATAAACCCATTAAAAACTTAACACGTTCATTACCTACTTAGTGCGAACAAACCACAAACTTAGTTCAATGAATATTTTTATGTTTACATTCACAATTTAAAGCGCGAAAATTCTAGCCACTATCACGACTACCAAATTGGGCTCTTAAATTTAATTTACATCGTCTTATTGTCATATATATGTGGTAATTATGTACCTACGTACTTAATTTTTAGCTATAGCTGTAATTTGTGTAATGTCTCCTAACCTTTGCAATTCTAAACACACTTTCCATTTTAAGAAATTAATTTATAGGTTTTTATAAATAAAAAAATAATTAAGATAATAGCTACCATACGCAGCGTAAAGATCAGCTTATATAAATTGTGTAAAAACAAATGTGGTTTATATATAGCCGCATATTGAATTAAAAATAAAACCTGTCTGACCAACCAGTTAATAGTATACCAAACCCTAAAAGTACAACCGTTATCGAAGTCTTCAACCTTAATATTAAAGCTTTATCATTAGAATCAAATTAAGGGCAACGCCCTAGAACATCGAAATAAAATATTAATTTAAAGCGTCATCTTATAAGGCCCATTGTTTTTGACATCTGCAGCGCTAAAAAGTCAAATGAAATTTATTCGTATTACATTGTCCTTACTGATCATATCAGTGTGGGGCTGCAATTGTGACGTACTCTAGTTGGCTTTTTAGCAACAGTGATAAATTCACTGGGCCTTATTAGGTGTCAGTCATTATATTCAATATTTTATTTGTTTATATTCTGTAAGATCGTAACTTTCTTTAAAGGCAGAGCAATGAGTTTTTTTTTTATAATAACCTCAAACGGAAAACAAAACTAAGTGTTTTTGTTATGCTTTAGTTTTCCATTTGAGATTATTATAAAAAAAGTATGTCAATAATGACAGTTGGAATACTACAAAACAATTATATGCCATAATGATGCATATTAAGGGATGACGATTAACTAATTTATTTTTTGCGTAATCAATAAATTACGGCGGTACATTGAGTTGAAATGTCGCATGACGTGACGTCTTTGTACATTTTTTACATAACTGTGATGTAGCGAGCACTCACTCCTTAACTTAAATGCCAATTATCTAAGCAATTTCTTGTTAAAATACGTATCTATTTTTTTTTCTATTATCTAACTGACGGACTTAATAGAATGAGGAAGAATTAAAAAAAAAACCAAAGCACTCCACCAGATGGCGACTCTAGCAAAAGTTGATTTTTGTAAGAAACAAATGGACCAAAGACAATCATTTCCGTTCATTTTAACTACAATATAAAAAAAACTGAAATTTGAAAAGTTCGAAACTTAGATATTAATACAAATACAAAAAAGTACAAATAGAGTATGAGTTATTAATAGAGTTTTGAAAACTTATTTATTTTTAAATATGAATGAAAACCGGAAAGTTTGTCATGGAGAAATAAAGAACGTGCCGTAGCGATATCTAGTTTGATTTCGTGAACTAATTTTTTTTAAATACTTCCTCATTCCTTTTTTTTTTATCCATTCGTAATCCCTATTATTCGTACTTACCTAAATATTTTTTATAGATTATTAAAACATTTCTAGGACTTACCGAGGGATATTTCTCCAATTCATGTAACACAGTGTGGTCACAATATTCGAAGACTAGATGCAACTTGCGTTTTCGACGAAACACTTCGATCAAGTTCACTAGGTTCGGATGTTTGAGGTTCTGTGGGAGAGAACTGAATGTCAGAACACATTATCCACATAAATTTATTTTTTGCGATTGGTAATGGATAAACTGAAGAACTAATGGACCGACATAGTATCAAAATAACTATCATAGTATTTTCTTGAAGGTTTATCTGATATTTTCTTAATTTAGAATGCTTAAAAAATCCACTTTGTTCCTAGCATTCTGAACCCGTGAACTTTCGCAATTCGAGCGACTGCTCTAACCACTAAGATACCCAGGACCTAACAGGACTGACGAATTTTTCAAGCACTTATTATTTGTTCGCTATTACAGAGCGTATTTTCATCAATGTTCAGGCAATCCACCAAAACATTATCTCAACTACTTGCATATTACCATTGTACTATCTACCTGAAGTCCAATATTATTAGAGCAATGTCTTCCTCACATATCAATAGTGATAGATATATAATGTAGCCTGCAGTGCGGATTGGTGGGTATTAACGACAGCCGAGATCAACGGCATAACAAACCTTCCGAAGCATATAGTTATCGTCGAATCAGTGGCGTAGCGTTTCTTAGCGGAGCCCCGTAAAAAATTTGTTTGTAACCTTTATGTAGGGTAAAGATTGTATAAACTGGACGAATTTTAATCATGTATACATCGATTATTATGGGATTCCCCCGTAAAAGTCTGACTTAAAATCCCGCAGCCCACGAAATCGGTTGTAGGGTGTTACCTACACGTTTGAAACGCACGCTCTACGTGGGAAAAAAAAAACATTTTTTGACTTTTGTCATTTCTGAAATAAAGTTTTTATTAGTTAGTTTTTATTAACTTTTTCCTACGCACGTTGGGGACCCCAGTGGCCCGGGAGCCCCGTATAATTGATACGGCATATACGGCGGTAGCTACGCCTCTGCGTCGAATCTATACTAATATTATAAATACGAAAGTAACTCTGTCTGTCTGTTTCTTAAGCACGCCTAAATCACTGAACCAATTTGCATGAAATTTGGTATGGAGATATTTTAATACCCAAGAAAGGACATAGGCTACTTTTTACCGCGGGAAAATGACGCATTCCCACGGGAAAATAATCTAAATATATATAACTCAAAGGTGACTGACTGACATAGTGATCTATCAACGCACAGCCCAAACCACTGGACGGATCGGGCTGAAATTTGGCATACAGGTAGATGTTATGACGTAGGCATCCGCCAAGAAAGGATTTTGATCAATTCTATCCCCAAGGGGATAAAATAGGGGATGAAATTTTGAATGAAACTTTGTCAATTTTAAACCGATCAGGCTGAGATTTTGTATAAATAAGGCTATTATGACGTAGGCGTTCTCTAAAAAAGGATTTTGATTGATTCCACCCCCAAGGGGATAACATAGGGGATGAAAGTTTGTATAAAACTTTGTCAATTTTAAGGGCTGAGACTTTGCATGCATAAAGCTACTATGACGTAAGCATCCCCTAAGAAAGGATTTTGATAAATTCCACCCCTAAGGGAATAAGCTAAGAGGATAAGACTTTTTTTCAGGTATTTTACACGATATAATGAATAAATATTCGTTAGAAATGCTACTCAAAATAACTTTACCACGCGGACGAAGTCGCGGGCAAAAGCTAGTTAACTATAAAACTCTTTATCAGTGAAACTGTGCACGCGGCGTGCAATCTACAATCTGGCAAGAAGCATGTATAATTTACCTATGCGTCTTTCTTTCGTCTACACGGCGAAGTTTAATTAAATAAATATTTTTATTTAAGCGGAAATAGGTAGAGAAATAGCATCCTATTAATAATCAACTCGCCAAACTAGTTTTAAATTGCATTGGTTTATTTTTAACCGACTTCAAAATCGAAAATGAGGATGTTTGTTTTATTTATATTATTTGTAATTAGTTAATTACTTATATTACGTTCATCGATATTTTCGTTAATTGTTGGCAGCTTTTCTAAAAGCTTTTTTATTCGACATAGTTATCACCTAAATATTAAAAGATGATATGTTATGTTATGACGTGGCCCATTTCAGGTAAAAAAAAACAAAAGATTGCATATTTAGAATTCATTCAGAATCTGAAAGGAAGTTTTTCTATGTTCAACGAGTACGTATACTTTACTTTTTGATATATGTTTTTTTATGAAAGTCATAGAATAAGGTTACAATGAGTAAAGTATGTATATAAGGGTAGGTATGTTCATCGATTTCTTCTTAAATTGTAAACCAATTTCTATCAAATCAGCTGTTTTCTCGCGACTTTGCCTGCGCAAATTATTGCCTATGTCCGCCGCGTATTATGTAGCTTCCCGTAGATATATGACTTATATAAATCGGTCCAATAGTTTCGGGCCTATCCAATGCAAACAAGCAATCAAATCTTTCCTTTTTAAAATAAGAATATAGATCTTAGATTATCTATTATCCAAATACCGTGTCCCCTACAAAGCGCAACGACAAAAGTCAAACCATTTGAGATTGATTCGTGTGTGAGCACCAGTATGTTTATAAAGACAGAATTTTTATTTTAGTGTAATGGATAGTGTACCTCTTTACTGTTTAAAGTTTGAGAGGAGTAATGATTGTTTTGATGATGTAAATAATGCTCTCGACAATGTTCTACAATGGTTTGATAATAATAAATTTAAAGCTCAATACAAATAAAACGAAATGCATAAAGTTTGCATTACCTAATGTGAGGCATGTCAGTACACTTATAAATGTAAATAGTGAAAAAGTTGAGTAAGTAGAATCGACAAAGTTCCTTGGTATTACCGACTGCAATGGGATCCTCATATTGATAGCTTGTCAAGTAGACTGAGTTCTACAGCTTTTGCTGTTAAGAAAATTAGACTCTTGACAACTGTTGAAACGGCAAGATTGGTATATTTTAGTTATTTTCATAGTGTAATGACTTATGGTATATTGTTGTGGGGTTCTACGGCTAGCATTCAGGATATTTTTATTCTACAAAAGAGAGCTGTCCGTGCTATATATAATTTACGGTCTAGGAAATCTCTCAGAGAAATATTTAAAGAAATAAATATTCTGACTGTTGCTTCTTAATACATCTATGACAATATTATGTACACAAGAAAACATTACGATTCCTTCACAAAAAAAAAGTAGTGTTCATAATCTTAACACAAGAAATAAAAATAAACTTGCCGTTCCAAGCTTCAGACTTCAAAAAACCAGAGGATCATTTCTGGGTAAATGTATTGCTATATTCAATAAAGTTCCACAAAATGTAATTGACCTACCCATAAATAAATTTCAAATTCATGTAAAGAATATACTTATGAGTAAAGGCTATTATAATGTTGATGATTATTTTAAGGATCGCAATGCATGGAATTAATAGCCTTCGCTCTGTTCTATAAAGACTAATTATATGTTCAACCTATGTCCTACAGACTTTGAAAGTTGTATTTATTATTGTGATTCATCATCATCATCAGCCCATATTCGTCCACTGCTGGACATAGGCCTCCCCAATTGCACGCCATCTATTTCGATTTTCGGCTGTTCGCATCCAGCTCCTGCCAGCCATTTTGCGCAAATCATCGCTCCACCGCGCCTGAGGACGTCCTACACTACGTTTGCCGAGACGCGGTCTCCACTCAAGAACTCGTTTACCCCAACGGTTATCGGTTCTGCGGTTAATATGGCCAGCCCACTGCCACTTCAGCTTGCTAATCCGGTGGGCTATGTCGATAACCTTGGTTCTCTGCCGGATCACCTCATTTTTGATTCGATCCCGCAGAGAAACGCCGAGCATAGCCCTTTCCATAGCGCGCTGAGCGACCTTCAACTTGTGGACCAGCCGTGCCGTCAGTGTCCACGTTTCGGCTCCGTATGTCATAACGGGTAGGACGCACTGATTGAAGACTTTTGTCTTTAGGCACTGCGGGATCGACGATGTAAAGACTCGACGTAGTTTCCCAAACGCTGCCCAACCTAGCCGAACTCTTCCATTTACCTCGCTCTCGAAGTTGTTTCTACCTAACTGCAATGTTTGCCCGAGGTATACATATTTTGGAACAATTCCGAGAACGGCACCGCATACTGCAATCGGTTCCGGTAGTACGTGTTCGTTGAACATGACCTTGGTTTTATCCAAGTTCATCCGTAGGCCGATGCGCATAGAAGAGTCAGCCAGGTCATTCAGCATCTGTTGTAGGTCCTGCAGATTTTCTGCCATGATGACGATGTCGTCAGCAAATCTCAAGTGAGAGATGTACTCGCCATTGATGTTGATGCCACGTCCTTTCCAGTTCAGCATCTTAAACATATCCTCCATTGCATTAGTAAACAATTTCGGAGACATAACGTCTCCTTGTCTCACTCCTCGATGCAACGGTATAGGACTTGTTTGCTGATTCTGTACTTGGACGGTCATGGTGGCGGCCTCATAAATACATCTTATCACTTGGATGTATCGCCAATCGACTTGGCATCGCTGCAGGGACTCCAGAACGGACCAGATCTCAATCGAGTCAAAGGCCTTCTCATAGTCCACAAATGCTAGACACAGGGGCTGATTATACTCTTCAGTCTTCTGTATAATCTGCCGCACTGTGTGGATGTGGTCTATGGTGCCGTATCCACTCCGAAACCCAGCCTGCTCCGGTGGTTGGAATTCGTCAAGTCTTTGCGCAAGACGGTTCGTGACTACTCTAGAAAGTCTCTAGAAAGTGCGGAGTTCTCCCTTCGAAGAGGACAGCATTAAAAAGCTTTTGGAGCTCCTTCAGTACTGGTTTACCTCCTGCTTTTAATAATTCAGTTGTAATGCCATCCTCTCCAGGGGCTTTTCCATTTTTAAGCTGTCTCAGAGCGATCTCGATTTCGCCAATGCTGACTTCTGGCAGATCTTCGGTGTAGTGGCGTGTTAATGTGGCTCTAGAATCCTCATTTCCGGGATCAGGTCGAGATGCATGCGAAGCGTATAACCGGGCATAGAAATTTTCCACCTCCGAGAGGACCGCTGGCTTCGAAGCAACGACTTCCCCGCT